CCCCCAGTAAGCATGGAGCCCCCATCTAGCTTTGTCTTGGGTCAGCTCTGGGGACCTGGCCCTCCTTCTAGCAAATGCCCCGCCCAGTGTTTGTAGAGCAAGCCTCAGACTCTATTGAAAAGCCAGCCGGGGCATGGCGACCGAGGGCTCACCACGGCACCCCCAGAAGGCCCCCCGAGGACCCAGGTGACTGAAGAAGGCGCAGGCTCATGGGGGCAAGGCAAGAGGAGCAAAGGAACCAAGGCCCAGAAGTCCTCACACCTGGGAGGTCCGGAGGCTCCCGGAAGGGAGAGAGGGGCCCGGAGAGGCCAGGAGCACAGCAGGTGGGAACAGTGGCAGAGAACGGGTGGGTTCGGGTGGTCATCTGGAGGCCAGTCTGCGTCTCTGAGAAGCCACGCAGATGGTGGAGGACACCACACTGCGGATGGCCGAGGTCATGGGAAGTAGGTGCCCTGGGGTCTGCAGGGGCAAATCTTGGAGGAGGATTCCCGGAATCAGGCCCTAACAAAGGAGGCGGCTCCTCACAGCCTCGTGGCTCCTAGCTTCTCCGGGACTACTTCCTGCTGACGTCCTAGGCTCCTCCAGGGGTCAGGGACACACGGCCTACACAGCTTCCCTGCTGGCTGCTCTCGGCCAGCCCCCAGGGTCACAGGTGTTTGCTCAGAGCTGAGCCCCCCCCCAGCTCAATGTCAGCTCAGGGTCATGCAACCTCACACCTCGGGACCAGTCAGCCACCCCTCCTCACTGCTCCCCGAGAGCGAGAGGGACCCTGGGATCTGGGAGGCTGGCAGGCAAGGACCTCTCTGAAGGGGCCACCTGACCCTCAGCTGGGTCAGATGGCAGGTACAGCTGTGGGACCTCAAGCCCCAGGTCGGGGCTGCAGGCTGCCATCTGCTGCCCGCCTCTCCCCCACGGAGCTGTGTCCCTGTCACACTGTGTTCACAGCAACACCCCACACCAAATGACCATGTCACATCACCCTTAATTACACATTCCATGGGAAGGTACTCATCTCTGCGACCTCTCCCACCTGCGGAGGGTCCAGGCCCTGTCATGCTCACGGCCAGAGGAGTCTGGCCAGCTCCAAGGCCCTGTGGCTCCCGGGCGCTGCAGACTGTGTGGGCTGCTGTCTCCAGCAGGAGGCTGGCTTCCTAGGGTCCCCTCGTGTCACTCATAGATGTCTTCATGGCTGAGAACCAGACGCAGCCTGGATCTCCTGAGTGTGAGATGTGAGCTCAGCTGTCTTGGCTCTGACCACCTCCCAAGCCTGGTGCGGCTGCCGAGGGGGCACACAGCTCACAGCTGCCCTTCCAGGCTCAGCCGCGCGGCGCTAACGGGCAGCTGTTTCCCACAGCACGACAGCCACCGTGAAGAAACACGCAGGAAGCTGAGATGTTAGGAGCAAAAGCCTCCCGAAGAAGGAGGAGGAGGAAGAGGAATAGGAGGAAGGAGGAGGAGGAGGGAGAGAGACCCAATCCCAAACATAGGCACGGCAGCCTGGGCAGAGGGCCCGGCCTGGCCCCCGCACTGCCCGGCATCAGGAACCGTGAAGAGGCCTGGGTATGCTTCTGTCCATGCTGTCCTCTTGCCGTGTGGCCCTGGGCATAAGAACTGGCGGTGAGGTGCACACAGTGCTCCCAGAGCTCCGTGCGCTGGCTCCCCACGTCCTGTGGGCCTCTGGAAGGGCATGCTGTCCACCGCCAGCCCCGCCCTGCCCTTGACAGCTGTGCGAGTTAGTGCCCCCCGGGCCAGGGCTGTGCTCAGGTGGTTTCAAGGTGTTGGGGGCTTCCTGGCCTGGCTATCAAGTGGAGCCCAGTGGCCCTGCCCAGCAGCCTCGTCTTGACCTGGTGACTTACGGACCCAGAGTTGCCTGGGATCGGCTGCAGCCTCACGAGGCGCCTGAAGGCTAACGTGAGCCCCTCACCCCAGTCAGCCCAGTGATGGCACTCTCCCACTTCTGCTCAAGTCACCCCTCACCCTGGGTGCCCATCACCCACCCCACACTCCTGGCAACAGCCTAGTAATGACCCGCACGTGGCCCCTGGTGTGAGGGGAAAATTAAACCAGGATTTGTGACCACATGGCTGTTTGCTGCCCAGCAATTGCCTCCTCCCCACTTGGCTGCCTGGGGACAGATGGCCCCGTAGAAACAGAGCCCGAGAGTTTAACGATCAGGCCAGCCAGGGCGACCCGAGGTCTGCGGCACAGGTGGGACACGTTTACTGCTTCAGAGGAAGCGGCGTGTCCTGGGTGGCCCTGCTGGTTCTGAGCCTGCGTGTGCCACCAACAGGTCTGTGTGCTCTGCCCCTTCCCTACCCCAGCTCCGGCCAGGTCACCAGAACTTCCCCCCAGGAGATCCCGAGGAAGGCACCACCAGGGATCTCTAGGGAATCCCTGGTTCACCTGAGCCAGGGACCCACTTGTCCAGGGATCCAGGGCCACAACCTGGGTTCACTGGGCATCAGGAAGAGGAGAGCTGGCCACAGGTCTCCCAGAGCTCTGCAGAGACCAGGGTCCGAGGGTGGCTGCTCAGGTGGGCACTGGCCTGGGGGGTCCCATGTGCAGACAGCCCACCCTCAAGCTACTGAGAGTCACAGGTGGTTAGATGCTGTCTCCACCCTGGGTTGGGGGCCATCCGTCCCCTGAGGATCAGAGAGAGGAAAGGGGGTGTGTGGCTCTGTTTGGGAAGGAAGGAGAGGCACTGAGGAGGGGGGCTTCCTGGCTGTTCCTCCTTCTCATGACTGGGGCAGCAGCCTGAACTGCCGAGCCACTCGCCTCCTGCACTGGACCCGAAAGATGGGCCACTTTTCTAAGCTGTGGGTAACAGGGGTCCCAGGATCTGCTGGCATCCTCCAAGTCAGACACTGGAGCACTCTGGGCAGCTGGTGCCCCAGATGTCAGCCCTGATGTCAGCCACAGGCCAGAGGTGTCAGGCCCCAGAGCTGCTGCTGTACACACAGGTCATAAATACTGCCTAAGTGGCTCCTGTCACTTGACCGCAGCCTCGTTTCCATTCCGCAGCAGCAGAAGGTGATTAATGAGAATTATCATTAGCACTAATCAGAGCCGTTTGGGGGAGGTGGGGGTGGAAGGAAATGCCCTCTGTGAGGCTGCGGAGCCCACTTTGAAGGGTGTGTGTTGCATGTGTGTGGAGGGGGGCACACGCTCATGCCCTCGTGCACCCAGGCGCAGGACCAGGCTGTGGGGCTGGCCGGCTGGAGAGGGTCTGGGAAGATGGGGATTAGGTGAGGATGAAAGTCGCCCGTCCTGTCTGAGGGGCCCCCACGAGGCCGTGGCCGCCCCGGCATGCCGACAGCCCGAGAACACAGGCTCTGCACAGCTCGGCCCGGCTGGAATGAATTCTCTCCTGCCGCCAAACACGACCATGACTTAATGCGCTTGGCGGCTGCTCGCAGACTGGACGGGCTTGGCCAGAATGAAAACTGGGCTGTGGCTGAGGCCCTGGCGGGAGGTGGGCATTCTCTGTGGGTTCCGTTTCCTCCTTCCCACCAGCGCGGCCCTGACCGCTGCCCGGGGCCTCCTCCTGCTGGGGACGCCCTCTCCCTCCTGGCCGAGGAAGTGGCCGACCAGGGCCGGGCACCAGGCGTCCTTGCTGGGGGTGGGGGGGGGCCTGGAGTGGCCTCCAGATACAAAGTGTCCTTTTATTGGAAATATCAATTCAGAAAGGGGCTAGTAGTAAGCCGAGAATATTTGGATAAACTTGACAGCCCCAAAGACTGAAAAAAGACCTTTTGTTCCCCACAAGAAGAAGGCTGCCGTCCCACCCTGGGCTCCTGGAGCAGCTCCAGAGAAAACTGAGGTCGGAGTAGAAAAACGATCGGGGCGTCTCGCGAAAGATCTGGACTCTCGGCCCGATGTTTATTATTATTTATCTTATTTTTTTATGAGAATGTGTGGTTAACATCCTATTGCGTAATACCAGACTGTAACCGTGTCCGCGAACACCGCGGCCAGTCTGCGCAGCTCTGCTGGCGCACAAAGGGGACCTTGTGGCATCTGCGGGCGGCGGGGGGCTGCACATGGGTTATGTTCTGCTGGGCTTTGTTTTCGAGATGTCGGCGACCCGTTTGCGAGGGTGTGAGCATCTTGTAGCGTCTGCACCCTGATCAGCGAAGAGGCTGCCGCGGCGGCACCTCGTCTCAGTGCCGGGGAGGGTCCCCTCTCCGTGCGGGGACAGGAAGCCACAAGTGTGGTGCGTGGTCATGGCTGGGAGGGGTCTTCCCCAGCACAGAGGGAGGCTGACTGCAGGCTGCTTGCTGTGGCTGGGGGCTGGGCCCCCCTAGAGACTGCCTTTCCACTGAACCCGAGCCTGAGGCACCATCACACTTCTGGGGAGACCCTGGGACATGACGGGTGGGTGGCCAGTCCTCGCACCTCCCCAGAGGAGCCGGGGTCAAGGATACACACCCAGCATGTGGCTCCTGGATTTCTGGGCCGGATCTCTGCCTCTGCTCCAGAACACGGTGGTCTCTTAGTCCACGTCGGGGACCTGAATCTGCAGTGTTCGGGTCCCTTACAGGAAATGGCCTGGTATTTGCTCAGAACCCCTGCGTCGTCCCCCCCCCACAGACTGCAGACCATCCCTAGAGGACCCGTAACACCCCAGACCCCCTCCATGTGGGACCGCGGCTGCCACACCGTGTCATTCAGGGAATGGTGGCGAGGAAGAGAGTCTGCTCACGTTGGGCACAGATGCCGTGGTTTCTGGAATGTTTTCAATCCCAGCTTCGTGGAATCCACGGACACAGAATCCAAGGCTAAGGAAGGCCAAAAAATGGAGGAAGTCTATTTTAAAGTAATTGCATATGAATTTATTTTTTGAACTGATAATACTTAAACAAATTACTGGAACAGAGAGAGGACTTATTAAAAAGGTTATGATTCTGTAATGGTTCTCATTAAATTCTGTAGACGTGAATTTGGATATGAAATTGAAAAAAAAAACAAGCCCGTCTTCAAATCAAGGCACAGGAGCACGATTCAAAGTGATTATTTTTATTTAAAAGGTCATCTAAAGCTGGGTGTGGCGGCGCGTGCCTCTGATCCCAGAGACTCGGGAGGTCAAGGCCGGGGAGGCCCAAGTTTGAGGTCAGGCTGGGCAATTGGTAGACCTTGTCCTAAAACTAAAAACAAAAAGGGCTGGGGATGGGCTCAATGGTCAAGCACCCCTGGGTTCAATCCCCGGTGTTAAGGAAGGAAGGAAGAGAGGGCGGGAGGGAAGGATCACTTAGAAATGCCAGTGTTTAGCTAGGGAGACTGACAACAGTGACTTAAAGCGCTGCACGTGGAAAGAAAGAGGAGGCCCAGGAGAGGAGAGGGGGTCAGGACACTGTGCCTCTGACATGCCAGAGCCGAATCTCCTCAGAGTCCAAGAACCTTCTAGAAAACAGTCCATCCACCCCCCCAGGGGGTTGGGTAACATACAGAAACCACCTGGGACCACGGGGACCGATTGTCCTTCCACAGCTGCCGAGGGCTGCCTGCTCGGGTCCCTGCCTGGACAGCGCTCACAGTGGACTCCGGGATAGAAATCCCGGCTCAGGAGCCACTCCAAGTTCTGCTCTGACACCTCTCTCTGGAGGGAAGTCTGGGGACGAAGGCACAATGGTGGGGCTCTGGGTGGGACTGCCACTAGACCCAGAGATCCCCAAATTGAGCAGAGACCATTAGCCTTGCCTCCCCTTAAACTCATCTCCCCTGCGGCACCTGCTCCCCGATGGGGAAGGAGCCGTCTTCGCACCAAGCCCCCCTCTGGGGAGAGTTCAGGGCAGTCACCAGGGAAAGTGCCCCGGCTCAGGACAGCCAGCGATGACGTACCGCAAGCCACATCTGCCCTGATTCCGCAGAAGATGCCCTTCCCATGGGCTTTTCTGCACATCCCAAGACGGTGGAGAAGCAGCTCCCCGGAGCATGCTCCCCCTCCCGCTCCTGAGGGAGGACCAGGTCTGCTCCCATGTTTGTTCAAAGGAAAAAGGAGAGTAGCAGAATCCCCAGAGAAAGGTGCTGATTCAAACGCTCCTGGGCCCCCAGTTTGATTTCTGGGTAATGGGCTACACTGTGCCCTCTGCCCTGCAGCCCCTCCACTGGGTCACCGGCATCAGGTGAATGCTTGTGATCAGACGTTTAGTAGACCACTTGGATTCTATTTCCCCGGCTTGAGTGGATGCTGGAGTGAAGCTGGTGAAGGGGATCTAGGCAATGCCGCTGTGGGGGACACATTTGGTCCCTTTGATGTAGGTTGTCAACAATGACTAGCTGGGACATGGGCAAGAGGGACAGCTGCTGGTTGGTTCCACCCACGGCACAAGATTGATGTGGCCACGCCTTTGTCTATGAATCATTTCAAACTTGCTGATTTGACCTGTCCTGCCCAGTTTGGGAAGGAAGTTGGCTTTCAGCCCCAAGAGAGATATCACTGGCTGAGCCCACATCCAAGGGTAGACCTCGCAGGCAAAACCATCACCAGGACCCAGGTGGCCTCTGGCTGGGACAATGCTACCTGAGAAGCCCATCTGACTTCCCTCTTGTCCTGGCTGCTGTACGTCCTGCAGCTGGGAAGGAGCAAGGGTGGGGGGCACTGGGTTCCAGTCAGTGGACCCTGGGGCTCATCCTCACTCTAAAGTTGGGCTCTAGGACCCCTGAAGACATCAGACATTCTGGAAAGCAGGGTCATCACCACAGACCATTTGGAGGAAGAGCACGTTCTGTCTCTACAGAGCCAAAGCAAGCCCAGGCCCCAGCGTCACTCTGTGCCACCTACCTGGGAGAAGCTGGAGCTGGCCGTGTGCAGTGCCTCCAAAGCCAACCCTGTGTGCACCAAGACTCCCTTGCCAATGACCATTTTTGTCCTTTGAAGGGCAGCGAGAGCTGTTTCTTGTGGGGATTGGCAAGGTATTTGCTTGGACTTGGTCTGTTGAGATTTGAGCTATTTGCGAGAGCTGACCTCAAAGCATCAGGCTGATATGGAAGGCGGTGAGTCACCAGGCTACCCCGCACTGAGGAGAAGGAAGAGGGATGGGCTCTCGGGGATGGAGTGAGTGGCAGGGAAGGCACCAAAAATAACCTGGCCACCCACCAGGCCTGTGCTAGGCACCCACTGTGTGCCAGGACCCACCATCCAGCCACAGCCTCTGCTCTGGAGAAACAGGCCACCCCAGGAAAGAAACATCACAGCCACGGCACTGTCCTCAGGACAGGGACCCTGTAACACCAGCCCAGGAAGAACTGCAGCTGTGACTCCCACAGTGAGGGTCTGCAGCTCCTTCGGCAGAACACAGGGAGGGATTAGAAGGAAAAAGGCCTGGACCAGAAAGACAGAAAGACCAGTGGACCCAGGGGAGCGTGGGGAGTAGTCGGGGCTGTTCTTGGTTGTCTTCAAGTGCCGTGATCCATTCACACTGTCTTCCTGGCTCCGAGAAACAACCAAGTGAACACTTGAGGTCCTTGCCATCTGTGAGGGGGAAGTGAGGCAGGCCATCGTCACGGCCAGAGTGTGCCATGTGATGAGGATCCTATTGGTGGGATATCAACTTAGATCTCACTGTGGGAGCTAGAAAGGTTGTGGGGGACACTGCCTCTCCTCCAGCCAGCCAGCCAGCCACTTCTCCACACTTCTGTAATCTGTCCATTCAACACCCATCCGTTCACCCATCCATCTACCATCCATCCATCCACCCACCATCTATCATCCATCCATTTATCCACCCATCCATCCACCATTCATCTAGTATCCACCCATCCACCACCCATTATTCACCCACAATCCATCCAAAATTCACCCACTCATCTATTCATCATTCATCCATCCATCCATCCACCCATCCATTCTCCATCGACCATCCGTCATCTACCCATCCATTCATCCATCCATTCAACATCCATTCATCCACATATCACCCATTCAACATCCATCCATTTACCCTCCACCTGCCATCCATCCATCCCTCTATCTACTATCAATCTGTCCACCACCCACTCATCCAACATCCATTCACTCACTCATCCATTTATCTATCCATCATCCATCCAACATCAATCTATTCACCCATCTTTCATCCACCATCCATCCATCTACCATCCATCCAGCCAGCCAGCCATCATCCATCCAAATATATTCACTCATTTATGCATTCATCTATCCACCATCTACTCAACACTCATCCAATCCACTCATCCATCCACCATCTATCCATCCATGCACACACCCATCCATCCATCCATCCATCTATCTTCTCATGGAGACCTTCAGTGAGTCTCAATGGACACTTGTTTCAGGCAAGGCTCTGGGGAAATTCTGCTTACCCTCGGCCCATCCTCAAGCAGAGGAGAGATTACCAGGGTGGGACAATTGGTATGTGTGATACTGGTCTTGACAGCATGAAAGCAGCCAGGAGGGCAGCCATACCTGCTGCCCAGTCTGTCCATCCCTTTTTGCTGTGTGACCTCTGGCCAATCACTAAAGTCCTTTCTGCCTCAGTTTCCTCACCTGCAAATGTGGAAGGAACAGTGGCTGCCCTGGAGTGGACGTGAGCATTCTGTCACTCGGTGACAGGTCTCAATGACCATGCTCGGCTGGAGCAGTGTGGGCCACAGCATCTGCAAACTCCAGGGGGTGCAGAGGAATGGTGCCCTCCTCCTGCCCAACAGTGAGCTGGGAGAGCCCCCAGGACAGGCATGGTGGGCCTGGGTTCTGTGCATGGCTGCCCTCTCCAGGAAATAACGGGTGGGAAGACTTGGAGCCGCGTCCAGCTGACATCTGGTTCTCCTGAAGGTCCATTTGGAAGTCCCTTCCCATGTGAAGCCTGTATCAGGGACGCACGAGAGGGTATGAGGGTTGGGAGCCTCCCTGTGGTTGTGTGCCAAGTCCCACTGGTCACCTGGCAAGGGAGCTTCCCAGCAAGGGGACCTGGCTGGGGATGCCCAGGGTCCCTGGCGGGCTCCTCATCCTGGTACTCAGCTTCCACTCAGTTTTTGTCCAGCAAAGCTGAGGCCCTGCTGCCATGGTGCCCAGGACCCCACCTGCTGCTATATTTAGAAGCCTCTGCCGGTGACATGAGCTTAGCTGGTTGCAGGGGACTCCTCCAGCATCCGCTGTGGGGGTGGCCAGGTCTGCAAGCTCTGCAGTTTGTCACCATCTAAGAAGCAGAAAAAGGTTATGAGTGTGACACTCCCAGGACCTCGCCCGCCCCCCACGGGGGGTGGCTTCCTGTGGCAGCCCTGGCCCCGTGTACCCTGAGCAGGGGCACAGCCACAAGCATTTGGTTTGGGGTTGTGGGACCTTTTCTTATTAATCTTCTTTATGATCAAAAACCAAACCAAAGCAAAAGCATCTCACTTCATAATGTCAGGGCTGAGTGCTGGGTGCCAGCCCCAGGCACAGGGCCGCCCGCTCCCCCCTGACCGCACGCAGGCTCCAGTGTGAACTACTGATGGGCCCTTGGTGTCTGCACCCTCAGAAGAAGCAGAAACGGCCCTGTGTCCCTCCCTCCCCCAGGCCTTGGCCAGGGCTCTGGGCCTCACCCAAGACCTGCTGGAGGTGGGGGACAGGGGATAGGACAGGCCATACGTGGACACTGCACACTGGGTAAATACTTTGCAAACCCATTGGGGACCTGGAGGATGCTCCGAGGGTAGCCGTTGCCAGAGCAGATGGCCTGGACACTGCTGTGGTGGTGGCTTGGGCGTTAAACTCTGGGTGGAGTCTGCCAAGAGCAGCAGGTCCAGAGGTGGGCAGCAGTGGGTGGGCTGAGCTCGGCCACATTCCAGAGGCTTCAGGAGAGGGCTTTTGTTGTAGCAGGCACAGGACTTGTCTTGAGCTCTCCCAAAGCAGTGCCTATAGGGGGGAGACAGGGTGGACGGAGCCAGCCCTGGACCCTGCAGGGCCCCCTGAGCAAGCAGACCCTGCGGCTCCAGCAGCCCCCACAGCTGTCAGGAGCGGTGTGCTCTGTGCCGGCTCTTTCATGGGCCCCTAAGCCCTTATTCTGACCCCGTTGTCCACACAGCAGCTAAAATCCCACCTATGCCCACACAAAATGCCCCCAGAGAGCAAAAGAGAAGCTCAAGGGGCCCTGAGTGGCCAGGACTCAACTCACCCAGGTGGCCCTCCCCCGAGGCTGACCGCAGTAGGGACTCAGGATGTCCTCCTGGGGTGGCAGGCAGGTGAGCAGTCCAGTGGAAAGGCCACAGGGTGCAGGGAGGAACGAGCCCCTGGCACCTGCCTCCTGCTGCGTCCCTGGCCAGTCCCAAGAGGCCCTGTTGGAGGCTGTCTGCAGAGAGTGGTCAGAGCTGAGAGGGGCCGGAGCTCTTGGCTGGCATCAACAAGTCACCCAGACAGTTTTTGCTTTGAATTCTGGGTGTCGTGGGACCCACTTGTGACCTGCTGGGCTTTCTCACGTGGGCAAGGCTAATGTGAGCGTCAAGAAGCGTTTTCAGAGGAGACGTGGAAGCCGGTCCTGTGGGAGTCGTGGGTACAGTGCTCAGATTCACCAGAATTAAACAGCTCAGAGGAGGATTTTGACAAAAGTAGACTGGGCATTTGCGTATCAAGATCATGAAGTGACCCGAGGGAAAGGACGGTGGTCACAACACTGGCAGGAGAGCCACTCCTCCTCCTGGCCAGAGGTGGCCTGAGGGAGTGTGGTAGAGTGGTCAGTGCTGGGCATGGCTCGGGAGCTCCGAGTATTGCCAGGGCCTGGGGGGCTTCTCAATACTGCCGCTGCCTCCACTTCCTCCCCTGGAAAGCAGACCTGCCCACCATCATGACAAGACCCTTCTCTACCTGTCACACATCTCAAAGAGAGACTGGCACAGCCAGCGGTGGCCCCAGTCAGCTCACCTGACTGTCATACAGCATGCCCTTGGGGACGTGCCCGAGACCTAGAACCCGCGGCACAAACCCGGGCTCGAGCAGCCTCCATGGCAGACGCGGACTCCGTGACTCGTTCCCAGCAAGGTGGCCGAAGGCCCAGACCTCCTGGGCACACTTGCCTTTGGGGCACAGGCTGTGACGGCTGTCCACCACTCAGTAGGAGGGTCCTGGACTCCCATCAACTGGCCCCAGGCTCAGCAGGCACCCAGCAGTGGGCCCAGTTCTGTGAAGAGCCCCTGGGCCCCACCCAGGAGTCTCTCCAGCGACAGCGGGGTTTCACTAGGGGACCGACCCTCTAACCTGGGTGTCAGGGGGAGCTCCCCACCGCACCCAGGGTAGAGAGGACCCCCCCTCCAGGCAGGGCTGGACACACAGGGTTCCATCCCGGGCGCCTTCAGCAGGCTCTCCGGGCGACGCAGGTGCTCCTCGGAGCTCACCACGCGGACAGCACCTCCGGCAGCCGGAAAGCAGAAGTGGGGCTTCCGAGTGTCCAAGGGGCAGTGAGGCAGGACCCCAGGGGGGCCACATTGGTTGGGAATGGCTGTCAGGGCGGGCCCCTGGAGGAGGGGACAGCCTCCAAGGCCTCCGTGGTCTCCCCCGGTTTGCACTCACCATCTCTGGCGGTTCTCGTCCACCCCTCTGGCTGCCAGTGCAGGCATCTGCCTGCTGGTCCCAGTTTCAGCAGACCCTGTTTCTCCTGGCCATTGTCCATCACCCGAGAGGTCTCTGCACTCACACCGGTCTGTACCGTACTCCTGTTCGCTGGGACAGGGAGCACCACGTGAAACTCCAGTCTGCCCCTTTATTTCCAGTGGATCAAGAACCTCGGACCTGCCACCACGGACAAGCCCCGTGCTACGGAGGAAGCCCCGCCCCCGAGATGCCTCACTGAGGCCACAGGGGCACGATGGCAGGGCAGAGTGTAGGGACACCCTGGAACATGCTTCTGTTCAGGCCACAGGAAGGGCCTGAGATCCAGCTGCAGCAGGTGGCGAGAGGCGGCCCTTGAGGCCCCAGGTTCGCCCAGCCCCCTTCTCGGCCCCCTCTGCTGTTTACCTGAGATCCGGGCGCGGCTCAGGTGAGGCACACAGTCAGACCGCTGCCCACCTTCTGCTATTCAGCAAAGCTCATGGACGGCGGGCCTCTCCCTGCCAGGTGTAGCCCCAGCCCCAGGGGGCAGGGAGAGGTGCAGGTAGCTAACCTAGAAAAGATGGAGGGGACCTAGTGGCCAGAGGAGGAGGAGGAGGCCCCCGGGAGAGGGCGCAGGCTCGGGAACTCAGCATTGGGGGGCGCACAGGGTGTCACCCCGGTAGCTCCCTGGCACCCAGAGTCTGAGAATTTGTGGGAGTGACCCGTGAGCCCTGAGAGGCTTACACAGCACCCCAGAGTCTGAGGATTTGGGAGGAGAGTGTCTGAGAACCCCAGGGTGTTCACGTGCTTTTGGGGTCTGATTTCTGGTCGGTGGCTTTGATCAAATCGGGTACAGGATTTGGAGGCTCTTTCTCCGACACGTGTTCTTCTTGGCCTGGCTTTGGGTGGAGAGGCTCTTCCCACACCAACTCAGATGCAAAGCCAACGCCTTCGCGGTCGGCAGACCCTCACCATCAGGCAGCAGGCCCCTCCTTGCAGCATCTGAGTCCAAGGCCTGGGACCCTGGCCTTCCCTCCCCCACACAGACCCCAGCCCTGGGAACTCTTCAGTGGAGACCAAGGTGGCCTGGGGCCTAGGAGGTACGCCAGCTTCCTCTAGGGTGGGCCCCAGCCCAGTGCCCTCTCTCCTTCCCTTCCCCTCCCCTCCCTCTTGCTCACCCATCCCTCTTCCAACCCCCTCCTCTCAGCCCCAGCAAGTGGGCCCCAGGCCTGCTGACCCCGCCCCAGGGCTGCCGTGAGCTTCGCAGCCCTGCCTGCCAGCCGGGGTTCTCCTTCACTTGATCAGGCACCACCAAGCCCTTGAGCGTCAGGATGGGGATTTACGAGCTCGTCCGGGCTCTGCGTCCACACTGGACAGAGGTGTTTCCAGAATGCCTTTCCCTCCTCCTTCCGTCACAAGAATGGACTCTCTGTTTCAGCTGCTGTGGTCGCCATAAGTCGTAATCCGTGTGTGCGCCTGTGCCCGTCTGCACAAGCAAGCGTGTGTCGTGTGTGTGAGCACCGACCGTCAGGAAAGGAGCCACCAGGCCTAGCACCCAGGCCGTTGCTTTGAATCACCTCGGGGTCCTTCAAGGAGGGGTCAGGGTGAGAAGCGGAGCTTCCCCCACTTCCCACTCGTCCTGCTGCTGGCCCCTGAGAGGGTGGTGTCGCCATGGCACTCAGGACCCAGGCCGAGGGTGGACGCGGGGCCTGGCTCCTCCCGCATGCTCAGAATCCATCAGGCAAGCCGACGGCAGACGGCTCGGGTCCTGGCTGCACACGCCCCGGAGGCCAGCTGTTGGCCATGCCCATTAGATGTCAGAGAGCCAGCCCAGCAGAGGGCCACAGCAGAGCACAGGAAACCTCAAATGACGTGCGAAAAACGCCGTCAAGGTCAAGAGAACTTTCCGTCCCTTCGCTTCATAACTCAGCATTTCTGATGGGGGGGATTTATGAGCTGGGGGAGCGGCAGCGGGTTGGGGGTCCTGGGAGGCCAGGTGGGGGTGAGCGGGCAAGAGGGCGGCTTCATTTGGACGGTCTGGGATTCCCGAGGCTCAGCCCCAAACAGCCCAAGAACAGGCTTTCGATGGCTACGTGGACAGGGGGCCGGATTCCAAACCAGGAGGGAGGCTCGGTCCTGCTGCCACATCGGCCGCCAAGCAGCTGGTCACTAAAGCTGACCAGGGGACCCCATGGCTGGGTTACCTCCCTCCTTCCCACCCCACGACTCGTGTGTGAGCAGAACCAAGCACCTACCTCCTCCGTCCTCTCTCCCACCCAGTTCTTGTCTTCATCTACCTCCTGTGAAGCCCAAATGACTGTCACAGATAAATGACCTCATGCAGAGCTGAGGCCCAGGCAGTGGCCTGGCTTCTGGGCATGGCTGGACATGCCTGCCCCAGCGGGAGGCAGTGGGCTTCCCTGCCCGGGACGGGTAGGCACCGGTGTGCTGGCTGGCGTCAGAGCCTCAGTACAGACCACACTTGGCCGGCGAAGGGTCCCTCTGGGCAGTGCGCGGCCCCCTCACCTTCCCCGCCAGGCCTCCTCTCCCCTGTCCTTCCTGCAACAGCACCAGCGTCCAGGAGGTCCCATCAGAGGCAACTGGGGCCCTGAGGCTCACTACACCGAGGACGGGGGATAGGGCTCTGTCACTGTGGGCACTGGTGAGTCCTGCCCCCAAGGCAGCAGGACCCACTGGGCCTGCTCTGGATTCCAGAGCACGGAGAATCCTACGACTCCCTCAAAGGGGCACGGAAACTGTCTCTCTGGTTCTCGAATGGCCTCCAGAGCAGTCTAGGTTGGAGGGGAGCAGGCGGCCCAGGGCTCAGCCTGGGTGCAGAGCTGAACCCTGCGGCACGTATCCCGTCCCCTAACGTGGGGAGATACCGGGCACCTGCACACTAGTGAGCCCTCTCTGGAGTCGAAATGGCCCAGGCCTGTCGATGCTCCAAACGGGAAGGCAGCCAGGACCTGCAGCAGCCCCAGGCTAGGGCCGCCTTGGGCACATCCCCAGCTGGACAGAAAAGCTGCAGCCCAGGGCCCTGCCCCCACTCCTGCCCCTCTGCATCTGCCAGTATGCCCAGCTGGGCCCAGCAGTGCAGCTGTGGGGCTGGACTCCATGCTGGAAGGGGAACTGGCGTCTCAGGTGAGGCCCAGCCACCAGCCACTCATGCCCAGCCTCCAGCTCATCCACTGCTGGTCCAGGGCCCTGGGACAGGAGCTTCATGGGCGTCCCCAGGGGAAGGGTCAGCAGTTCACTTGGCTCCACTCAGGCACTGAGGCTCTCAGCCTCTGGACAAAAGGAGGTAACTAGCCCAGGGTGCCCACCCGGGGAAAAACATGTTGAAGCTTTAAGAGCCACCAGCGAGTAGCTGTGCCCTGTCACAGTGCCAAGAGCCAAGGTCTGGGCAGCAGGCCTTCCAGACATGAGGACAGGCCTGGGAGACAGGAATGGCCAGAAGGATGGGCTCTCAGCCCCGAGAGTGGTGCCTACCTGCAGGGTGGGAAAGGGCAGCCTGGCACTTGGGGTCAGTGCCCTGGAGGACTCATTGGCTCTGGGAGGTGGATCTCTGCACCCAGGAAGGACAGAGGCACACAGAGGCTCTGGCTAGTGTCCCATGCAGAGCAGCTGGCCAAGTCCATGTTCACACACTCTCTGCAGATGTTGGCTGGGGCGTGGAGACAGCTAGAGGGACACGGGGCTGGGTCCAGATCCCTGCAGGTGTCCCAGAAAGGAGGCCTGCTCTGTACGGTGGGGGACACCATGGGAAGGTGGGCAGCCCACCCACCAGGATGCCCAAGCAGGCTGCGTGCTGGGTCAGGAGCACAGTGTTGCACGTCACCGACCTGCTGTCCAGGTCATGGTGGCAAAGAAGGCCATGTGCCCTGGTACAGCCACTAACCCAGGCTGATGGCCTGGGTCTTCCTAGCGGTCTTCTTCATGTGACCTCATGTTTCACGTGAGGTCCTCAGTACCCCGCTCTGAGCCCTGAACAGTGGTCACAGAACCCCCTGGACAAGGCCCAAGCCTTCCATGGGGCCCCCACAGGAAAAGGTGCAGGCCAGCTATGGGGGAGGGATATGAAGGGCCTTAGCACTGGGGAGGTGCCTCCCCCATGGGGGACTGATGGCCCTGTGACAGCCCCGGGGGATGGGGAGCTCCGCCTACCTGTGGCCACAGCCAGCAGCCCCTGTGGCCCCTCCCTCATGGCCCCCACAGGGCTTCCTGCAATCTGTGGTGTGAGGGTGGGGACAGCCCCCGATTGGGGCAGAGCAGGCAGTGCCTCCCCAGAACCCTGTGAGGACCCTGCACAGTCCCACCTAAGCCTCGAGGGGCAGACCCTCATGTGTCACGTGAGCTCCTCAGTACCCCCGCTCTGAGCCCTGAACGGACAGTGGTCACAGAACCCCCTGGACAAGGCCCAAGCCTTCCACGGGCCCCTACAGAAAAAGGTGCAGGCCACACCCTTGACCTGGAGCTGAGGGTCCTGCTCTTGGGAGGCATCCTGAGCCCCTCCTGGTCACTGGGCTCAGGGAGGATGTGCCAACCTGGTGCTGAGCTGGCCTCCCCACCCCCTGTGTGCCCAGGGTCCAGCTTCTGCCAGCGTCCCTGGAGAAGAGGAGCAGGAGGCACAGACGCAGGGTTTGGGACCATGGGTCTCCGCGTTGCCTCTGGCTGCTGTTGACCTTTATGAAAATAGAACTTCAGTGAGTTCCAGAGACTCCCATGGCCCACAGGGGCTCGGAAACCCAGCAAGCGTCCGCTGGGCAGGGGAGTGTTGCATACCAGGACAGGGATCTGCACACTGGGGATGGACACTCAGCACAGTAGTCAGGGGCATGGCCTCCTGGGGCTGGAGGGCAGGGACAGAGCACCCATCCCTTCTCTGCCCTCTTGCTCTCCCTACCCCATCCTGGCTGTCACCAGGCCTCAGAGATCTCAGAACCAAGGCCCCGGCCCCGTTCCAGGTTGGCTGGGCCTGAGCATTTCCCCTCAGAGACCTGCAGCTTAAAGCGCACCCTCCCACAGCGGCACCCCATGGGCTCCGGAGGGGCTGTGGTTTGGGGTGAATGGGGAGCCGTGCACAGACGGGTCCGACAGCAGGGCCATGCACCCCAGCAACACTGGTCCCTGCCACCTCTGGGGGTGGCACTTCCCCAACAACTCTGAAGCCAGGCCATCAGGAAGGATCCCCGCACTCATGGGGGCACCGCAATTCTATTCAAAGCACCTGACTGTGCGTGGAAGTGGGCAGTGCAGGTGGACAGGCCCTTTCCCACATCCTACTCCTCACAACAGAGTACCTGGAGGACGTAGCTCGGGGCTCAGGACTCTGGAGTCAGCATCCACGGTCCATCTGATGGTCACTGCCTCCAGCCCTGACTCCCTGGGACCCTTGGGATTCCCTGTTCCCATCACCCCTGTCCACCTGGGCACACTGCCCACCTGAAACTTCCTGCATACCTGACATGCCTGTCGGTACCTGCCTGGATACACCTGTCCACCAAGACACACCTGAACACCTGGACACACCCGCACTCTAGGCCCGTACATACCTGCACACCTGGACTCAGCCTCTCTCCACCTGATAGTGGCCTTATCCCTTGCCCGCCAGCCTCTCTCCCCCACTCCTGCCCTCGTGTGTCCATGATGCTGCTGGTTCAGAGGCTCTGGACCCAGAACCTGAGGCCGGCACCAAACGGGCAGGAGAGGCCGGGAGGCTGGACTCAAGTGCAGCTGCCCCAGTGGCCAGCAGGTCAGGTCAGACCCTCTCCCATGAACGGTGCTCTCCGAGGCACGACGGTGACACAGACCAGAAATCAAGCCTGAGAAGGTGCCACTTGCCTGTCAGGAGTGGGATTCAAAAGACAGCATTGGCCACACCAGAGAGCCAGGCCGGAGCAGGAGTCCTGGGAGGGTGGTGAGAGCCGGGCACTGGCCGCCACCGCTCGGCACCGGGAACGTGCCGATTTCAAGGAAACGGATGGTTTTCTGACTCCCAGGGCCATGTGCATGGTGTGAGCATGAGCACAGGGCGGCAGCACACACACTCGGTGACAGCACACACACTCGGTGACAGCACACACACACGGTGACAGCACACACCCGGTGACAGCACACACCCAGGCTCAGGCACAGCTGCACCCCCAATGACACCTTTACCTTCAAAAGCGTTTTTTTTCCTAGCCTGACGCTCGAGCTGTCTTTAGCAGAGGGCTCTGTTCTTAGACGCAGTGGCCTCTGCTCACTCACACCTGGGCCAGCCTTGCTGGGGAGGTTGCCGTGCTGAGACCTGCTCCGTGAGAAAGGAAAAGGGTCCCCCGCCCCCAAGGTCGCCGGGCTCAGCAGCTGGGCCAAGTAGGGCCTGGCTGATAACCACGTGGCTGGCTGAGGCCGGTGCTCACGTGCTGTCCCCCTGAGCCTGCGGGGACAAGGCAGCGTGCAGCCCCGAGCACACTGGGTGCCTCTGACCTTCGGTTTGCTTCTTCCCTGGCAGATCTCTGAAGACCTGGGCAGCGAGAAGTTCTGTGTGGAGGCCAGCCAGGTGGGGGCTGGCAGCTGGCTCAAGTACGTCCGGGTGGCCTGCTCCTGTGATGACCAGAACCTCTCCATGTGTCAGATCAACGAGCAGGTAGGTCCAGGCTGTGCGCAGGGGCTCTGCCTCTCGGAGTTATCCTAGGGGACATGCTCCAGGGTGGATGGAGGTGCCTCGGTGAAGGACAGATGAGCCCATGCCGGAGGCTTCTGTCCTGCTCTGGGGCAGCTGCCTGACACTTGGCCAATGCTGGCTCTCTGGGGTGCTTAGCTCCCCTGGGACGCTCCCCTGGAGCCTTCGGTCAGCCATCCTGCCTGAGGCCAGCAGCACTGAGAGCTGAAAGGTGGTGGCCTTGAGAAGGGCAGCAGGGCAGGCAGGGTCACAACCACAAGACCGACGCTCCCTGCGGATGCTGCTGCCCACGAGGCACGAGAGAGGTGGGAAGAGAGGCCGAGCGCAGGAGCCCTGTCTGAACCCGGGTTTCACCAAGCTCTCCAGAAGGGTCAGCGCTGGCCAGTAGGAAGCTGCTGGGGCACCTCCTAGGCCAGGCCAGGCTGAGACACAGCCCCCTCCCAGAGCCCCAGCCGGGTGAGGGCTTGGCCTTGTTTTGACACGGTCCCTTCCAGCCAGGAGCAGGCCGGATGCCTCCTGAGCTGTGGGGTGCTCTCGCTGGCCTCGGCCCCACAGTGGGGAGAACCCTTCCCTTCTGTTCCCAGCCCCGGGGCCAAGGGTCCTACAGGCTTGTGGACCCTACCCAGGGCGGTCGCCGAGGCCACATGCCAGCTGGGAGTGGAGATGTGTGGCTTCTTTAGACGCCAGGAGGCCACCCCTCCATGCTGGTCGCCACTTCACCTCGCTTCCCCTGGAGCTTGCAGGTGGGCTGGAGCCTCCACATCCAGCCAGGCCCAGCAGTGGCCTCCGTCCTGTGTCCCAGGACACTGGGCTCCTCTGAGGTGCTGGGCTCCCAGCCCCCTCCAGCAGGGCCATCTGCTTTGCCTGTCTTGGGGCTCTAAGGGAGATTCCATTTGCAAAATGAGGTCCTGCGACTTTAAAAGACATCCATGGAGACCTCTGTTAGAAGACAGGCCACGCTCTTGTGTAGACCGTGCAGCTGTTAAAGGCGCTTCACGGCTCTTGACTCTGGAGAAACATTCTGTGTTAAGAATCAGCACGTGAGACCTGGGCAGCCCCGGGCTGCCAAAGGTCCTTCCTCGTGGCTGGATCTCCCTTTGACTCAGGCTCGGTCTGGACCAAGCAGTGATTTTACTGGACACTGGACACGAGTTGGTTCCAAACAAGGGCATGGGTCCACCTCTCCACTAGACTTCTGTGGCCTTTGGTTGGAACCCCAATCTTTGAAAACAACTTTTACTAACTGCAAATAATAATAATAATACAGAAATAGAGCAAAAGAATAACCGTGGACATTAAAACAGAACTTTAAAGGGGAGACCTTTCCTGCCTCCAGATGAAAGTGGAATGTGAGTGAGAAGGTTCAAGGCACCCAGAGCTCTGCTGAGCCCTCCTGGAGCAAGTCCGGGGACGCCCTGTGCTGGCCTGTCTGGAAGATGTCGAGGGGCAGCGGCCAGTGCACCCAGGCTGGCCAGGGCAGCATCTGTGAGACAGACCAGGGTAGTGAAGGAGGCAGGCTTTTATATGGAGGGAATGAATGTTACTAGAACATCAAAATAAACCGAAGCAGAAAGGTGGGCAGCTTGTGAGGCCGGCTCTGTAGAAACCAACCCTAAAGGGGAGGCGTCCACAAAGCCCTATCTTTATGGGGAATAGTCCAGGGACTCGTTTATTCACGCTCCACACGGGCCTGTGTGGAACTGGCCTGCAGCTCACTGTCCTTCCACTGTCAGGACCCGAGGACAGAACGACAGACCTGCCCCTTCCTGTTGGCCTTTGTTAGCCCCACCTCCATCCCAGGACACTGCCGGCTCTGAAGCTCTGTGCTGGTGTGGGGCGCTTACCAGGCTCTGGCACCTACCCCACTCGACAGCGAAGCCCCTCCAACACCCCTCTGCCTCCCAGGAGTGACTCTCCCTGCTTCAGGGCTGTGGTGGATCCACAGCCACACATTAGGGGCACTCGGGGTGTGCGGTTGACAAACACAACCCCTAATAGCCCACAGAAGTGGCCCCTCCTCCTGGGCATCTCCAGTGTGCCCAGGCCGAGGGAGAGAGGAGCAATGACCCCTCACACTGCAGGCGTACGGGGCACCCGAGATCCCCTCCAGTGTCTCCCAGACTGAGCCTGGGAACTGGACAGACCACAGGGCAGTGGCCCCCGGAGCACAACGAAAGCAGGTGCAGAAGACCTGCAGGGAGCTGCAGGGGACATTGGGTCCAAGAGCCATCCCGAAACCTCAGCTTGGAATCCCAGCAACCAAAGGCAGACGAGCAGCTGGGGGATAGCAATTTCCAAACTATAATAATAAGAAAGTCACTCCCCGGAACCCACAGATTCCCAATAAATATTGGTTGGTTGAATGAAATGACTTTTGAAAACACCTTGGAAGGGAACAGTAGATCTCAAACTGCGTGTTCAGTCGTGGCCAAAAGCAGAGCAGCTCTCTCCCAGGACAACGAGGCCTTGGCAGAAAGCACCTTGGTTTCCTGGTCCCTCGGGGACACACATTTCTTCAAAGTAGCCTGCTTTGACCCTCCGTGGAGCTAAAATAAAAACCCTCCTCAAATATTAACAGTAAGAAAGGTTCTGAAGACAGGTTTCTCTTTAAGAAGGAAACGTCACGCAATATTAGCGGAGTTTCTCAGATCTCCGTGGTCCCAAGGGCTTCTACCAGGATTTCTGGACAGACACCACACACTGACTCCCACACCTGCACACACACACATGCATGCACACACACACGTGAGCACACACACACATCCACACATGCACAGACAATACACACACCTCACTACACACATGCATGCACACACATACGTGAGCACACATCCACATGTGCACGGACAACACACACCCCACTACACACATGCATGCATACACACGTGAGCACACATATACATCCACGCGTGCACAGACAATACACACACCCCACTACACACATGCATGCACACACACATGTGAGCACACATACACATCCACGCATGCACGGACAACACACACCCCACTACACACATGCATGCACACACA